GAAACTAATTACAGGTTTTGATTTTATTGTTGCTATGTGCATAACAAGAAATGTGTTTGACTTAACTCTTCCCATAACGCGAATGTTGAAGTCAAAGAGTAATGATATTTATGATGGTTTGAATCTTATTCAGGCGTTAAAAGATGTTGTGATTTCACTTAGAAATATCGTTGATCAACACCATAAAATGTGCTATGAACAGGCTTTAAAAATTGCACAAAGTATTAATGTAGCTGAAGCAAAGCCAAGAACTTCATTTATTTCCAAAAACAGAGATAATACTCCTTCTGAATCTATTTCTGATTATTTTGAGTTAGTTATCACAATTCCTTTATTAGACCATCTAAGTGTTGAACTAGACACAAGGTTTGATGATACTACCTTAAAATGTTATAAAGCACTATATCCGTATTTTTAGCTTGGATTGGTTGGTTTATATATAATATATATATATATATAGGCCAACCAAATGCTAGTTCCTACAAAAATGATTTCAGTAGTGCAATGTTCTCATGACACCAGTTGGAAAGACTCCATCATATCTTTCAGTGACTTTTACGCAACAGACTTACCGAATCCGCTTGCTTTGTCTGGTGAGCTTGATTTATGGGAAGCCTTCTGGTTAAATTTTGAAGGAGATGTCCCTTCTAATATTTCCGAGACGTTAAAAGCGATAAATTTTCCTGGTTTTGAAAACATAAAAGTTTGTCTTAAGTTACTTGCTACCTTTCCATTAACTTCATGTGAGTGTGAGCGGACATTTTCTTCACTTCGGCGCCTAAAAAATTATATGCGAAGCACCATGGTTCAGGACCGTCTAAATGGTTTAGCATTAATGAATATTCATTCAGAAATAGTTATAGATATCAATAAAGTCATTGATAAATTTGCCACTAATAATCGTAGATTAACTTTCAAATAAATATAAAATATATTAAAAAAAATTTTTTTTTTAATAAAAAAAATGCAAAATACTAAAAAAAAACAGTGCAAAAAAAGTCAGCTTCTTTTGCCAATGGTAAAAAAAACGGCTATTTTCATAGCCACACACTTTTATAAAACATTATTTGGCATAAAGGAATTATTAACATACATTGAGTTGCATACATGTTGGTTTCAGGTATATCGTTTTTTTTATGCTATGTTGAAATGATTATATTGTAAATGTTTTTATCTTTTGAACTGATTTTTTCAGATTTTATATATTTTGCAAGCATCAATAGAATTAAGATTTTAAAATCTACTTTTGCTATGCAAAATAAAATACTAAGATTGTGGCAATTTCTGTATATATAATTCAACTTTGATTATTATAATATATAGTTATTTCTGTTATTTATATTTGTTACAATATAAACAAATTATATAATTATTTACAATAAAAATATAAAATGTGTAAGTTTATAATTTAATAATGAAATGTGTAAATATAAATCTAGTTTGTCATAATAAGTTTGTAAATATTATGTAAACATAATTTTACTATGGTAAGGTGCCCAAGCGATATCCCTGCGTATTTTTAGGCCTATATATATATATATATATATATATATATATATATATATATATATATATATATATATATATATATATATATATATATATATATATAACAGGGCCGTCACTAGGAGAGGGTGTCTAACCCCTTACCAAAACTTTGTTGAAAAATTAGTCGGCAAATTTGGACTTGTAGTCTGCAAGTTTGGAACTATAGTCGGCATATGTCAGTAAACGAGAATCATACGTCACCTTCTGCCCTCCCCCCCCCCCTCCTCCTTTTTTTTCTTCGGGACAGCCCTGTAATATATCCCCTCTTACTCCGGAATAGTTGAGGGGGGGGGAGGGGGGAGAATGAAATGTTGCTCGTAAAAAAATCAGATGTACCCAAATAATTTCCTGGATCCGCCCCTGATATATATATATATATATATATATATATATATATATATGTATATATATATATATATATATATATATATATATATATGTATGTATGTATGTATGTATGTATGTATGTATGTATATATATATATATATATATATATATATATATATATGTATGTATGTATGTATATATATATATATATATGTATGTATGTATGTATTTATATATATATATATATATATATATATATATATATATATGTATATATATATATATATATATATATATATATATATATATATATATATATATATACATATACACATTAATTTTAAAGATCGATTTACTCATGCCAAGCCTCTATTAATTGAAATGAAAGTTTTAAATATATATGAGCTTAATATTTTTAACGTTATATGCTTTATGTTTAAATGTAAAAACAATATTTCTCCTGTACCTTTCCATAATTTGTTTTTTTCATTCGTCAATCAGCTTATCAAACTAATTCTGGAAAATACTGAATTTCATTTCGAGGAACATTACTTTGGAATAAAATAGTTTTATAGAATTTTGACTTTTCTCAAGAAGTTAGCTATCAGTCTTTCAAACAAAAACTTAAAAAAGTCATTTTTTTTATTAGATGATATATCTATATTCTTTTAATTTTTTGTTTCTTTTTTAACTTTATATTTAACACTGCATTAATAAAATTTATAATTTAACAATTTGTAAATAGTTGTTTAACACTTTTGTTAAAGGTACCTTAAAACTGTATAACAAAACCTTTAACAAAAAGTTTAACAATTTTGTTAAAGGCATCTTAAAACTGTATAACGCATCTATGTATTTATAACGGAACCCTTTTTCTTTTTCTTTTTTTCTTTTTCTTTTTTTTTTTTAAATTTGCTAATGTTTTCAATTCTTAATTCTTAATTATTTGTTATCTTCAAGTATGTTAAGTATATATTCCTATTGAAAGTTTATTTATTTTGAGAATATTTTATTAATACGAAATATTAACACGTAAATTTTTTAGCGGTTCTCGACAACAAGACCTTACGGTCTTTTACGAGTTCCCGCGTTCTTTTAATTCTTAATAACGATCATGTATATATATATATATATATATATATATATATATATATATATATATATATATATATATATACATTGTTAACGAATATTTATTAAATCACATAGTTGTAATATAAAGAACAAAAAAATATATATAAATATATACAAAATAACAGGGGCGGATCCAGGAAATTATTTGGGTACATCTGATTAGAGACTGGAATTACCGAAAAACGGTTCCTTCAGTAAATTTCGGTTCCTAATTTGAAAAGAAACTGATAACTTCGGTTCTTTTCGATTCCTTATTTTAGGCAAGAATCGTTATTACGGTAAATTTCGATTCCTTATTTTAAGAAAGAATCGTTATTACGGTAAATTTCGATTACGATTCTGATAAGAACCGATAACTTCGGTTCTTTTCGATTCCTAATTTTAGGCAATAATCGAAATTACCGTAAATTTCGGTTCCAATTTCGGTTCTTAGCGGGAAATATCGCAAAAAATCGAAAATGCTACAAAGAATCGAAATTTGAATGACTTTGAATTTAATTTCGCATGCCATTATTAAAACGTATTTGTAATAAAAACGATTCTTTAAAATAAAAACGATTTTTTAATTAATCCCTTAGGAGAGGGAAATTAAATTTGAATGAATTTGAATTTAATTTTGCACGCCATTATTAAAACGTATTTGTAATAAAAACGATTCTTTACAATATAAACGATTTTTTAATTAATAATTGAAATTTATCGTTTTTATTACAAAGAATCGAAATTACCGAAAATATTGAAAATATTGAAAAGAATCGAAAATATTGATTATAACGAAAGTAGATTATTAAAAAAAAGGTTAGTAATCAATTTACGGTTCTTTTCGATTCCTATTCTGATAAAGAACCGATAACTTAGATTCTTTTCGATTCATATTTTGATAAGGAACCGATAACTTCGGTTCTTTTCGATTCCTTTTTTATAAGGAACCGATAACTTTGGCTCTTTTCGATTCCTATTCTGATAAGGAACCGAAACCTTTGATTCCTTTCGATTCCCCGAAAAATACCGAAGAACCGAAGAACCGTTTTTCGGGAACTTCAGTCCTTACATCTGATTTTTTTACGAGCAACATTTCATTCTCCCCCCTCCCCCCCCTCAACTATTCCGGAGTAAGAGGGGATATATTACAGGGCTGTCCCGAAGAAAAAAAAGGAGGAGGGGGGGGGGAGGGCAGAAGGTGACGTATGATTCTCGTTTACTGACATATGCCGACTATAGTTCCAAACTTGCAGACTACAAGTCCAAATTTGCCGACTAATTTTTCAACAAAGTTTTGGTAAGGGGTTAGACACCCTCTCCTAGTGACGGCCCTGTTATATATATATATATATATATATATATATATATATATATTATATATATATATATATATATATATATATAGGCCTAAAAATACGCAGGGATATCGCTTGGGCACCTTACCATAGTAAAATTATGTTTACATAATATTTACAAACTTATTATGACAAACTAGATTTATATTTACACATTTCATTATTAAATTATAAACTTACACATTTTATATTTTTATTGTAAATAATTATATAATTTGTTTATATTGTAACAAATATAAATAACAGAAATAACTATATATTATAATAATCAAAGTTGAATTATATATACAGAAATTGCCACAATCTTAGTATTTTATTTTGCATAGCAAAAGTAGATTTTAAAATCTTAATTCTATTGATGCTTGCAAAATATATAAAATCTGAAAAAATCAGTTCAAAAGATAAAAACATTTACAATATAATCATTTCAACATAGCATAAAAAAAACGATATACCTGAAACCAACATGTATGCAACTCAATGTATGTTAATAATTCCTTTATGCCAAATAATGTTTTATAAAAGTGTGTGGCTATGAAAATAGCCGTTTTTTTTACCATTGGCAAAAGAAGCTGACTTTTTTTGCACTGTTTTTTTTTAGTATTTTGCATTTTTTTTATTAAAAAAAAAATTTTTTTTAATATATTTTATATTTATTTGAAAGTTAATCTACGATTATTAGTGGCAAATTTATCAATGACTTTATTGATATCTATAACTATTTCTGAATGAATATTCATTAATGCTAAACCATTTAGACGGTCCTGAACCATGGTGCTTCGCATATAATTTTTTAGGCGCCGAAGTGAAGAAAATGTCCGCTCACACTCACATGAAGTTAATGGAAAGGTAGCAAGTAACTTAAGACAAACTTTTATGTTTTCAAAACCAGGAAAATTTATCGCTTTTAACGTCTCGGAAATATTAGAAGGGACATCTCCTTCAAAATTTAACCAGAAGGCTTCCCATAAATCAAGCTCACCAGACAAAGCAAGCGGATTCGGTAAGTCTGTTGCGTAAAAGTCACTGAAAGATATGATGGAGTCTTTCCAACTGGTGTCATGAGAACATTGCACTACTGAAATCATTTTTGTAGGAACTAGCATTTGGTTGGCCTATATATATATATATATTATATATAAACCAACCAATCCAAGCTAAAAATACGGATATAGTGCTTTATAACATTTTAAGGTAGTATCATCAAACCTTGTGTCTAGTTCAACACTTAGATGGTCTAATAAAGGAATTGTGATAACTAACTCAAAATAATCAGAAATAGATTCAGAAGGAGTATTATCTCTGTTTTTGGAAATAAATGAAGTTCTTGGCTTTGCTTCAGCTACATTAATACTTTGTGCAATTTTTAAAGCCTGTTCATAGCACATTTTATGGTGTTGATCAACGATATTTCTAAGTGAAATCACAACATCTTTTAACGCCTGAATAAGATTCAAACCATCATAAATATCATTACTCTTTGACTTCAACATTCGCGTTATGGGAAGAGTTAAGTCAAACACATTTCTTGTTATGCACATAGCAACAATAAAATCAAAACCTGTAATTAGTTTCAGAAGGGATGATGCACTAGAAGCTGTTGAATGATTAAAACTCTTATTGGCATTTAAAGACATTTCTTCAAGACAAGAGACCAAAGGAATAAAAAGTTCTTGAAAAGTATCTAAACCATTTACTTTTTCCACCCAACGTGTTCTGCAAACATCTTTTAATTTTTTTTTAACAGCTATTGAAACAGTACATTCAATGTGTTCCTCTAACTTTGGTTGTCTGGTAGGTGAAAGATTGAAAAAATATGATACCTCTTTAACATATGCCAGAAGATTCTTGACATATTGCACATTGCACGAGCCACAAATAACTAAATTAAGCCTATGGCTATAGCAATGAACAAATGTAGCTTTTTCATTTAGAATTAAAATACGAGAGGACAATCCTTTGGTGTGACCAACCATTGCTCCAGCACCATCATATGACTGTCCTCTGCAATTCATGACATCTAAAGAAAAATCTGAAATACTTTTTAACAAAATATCAAATAATCCTTGACCAGTAACACCATTTGTGCAATGTAAAAAACTGATAAATTCTTCTCTTATATTAACTTTGAATCAACAAACCGTATAACTAATGATAGCTGTTCTTTGTTTGAACTGTCAGAAGCTTCATCAGCAATAATAGAAAAATATTTAGAATTTTTAATTTCTCCTATTATTGTGTCAGTAATAACTTCTCCACAACACCTTATTAACTGATTTTGTGATGTCTTAGATATGTAAGAAGCATTTTGTTGATGATATTTAAGATGATCTTCAAGAACTTTATCACCAGCTTTAACACGAAAATGTAATAATTCAATAAAATTTCCAACAGTATGATTAAAAGACTCACTATTTTCAGGATGAAACTCTGAATCGTCTCTATGGCCTCGTAAAGAAAGACCAAGACGTCCACAGAGAATAATTGTTTCAATAATTGGTTGTAATAACTTTCGATTTTTAGAAACCTGTGATTGAACTATTTTTTGAGATGTAATATCTATTGATTCTGTTTTAGAAGACCAAATCGACGACAATGAAAATAAAACTTCAACAGTTTTTACATGTAAGCCTTTATTTCTGCAGACAGACTTATTATTGTTTTTGCCAAATGCATGTTTCTGAAAGTAACGAGAAGCATCATTCCAGCGATCAAAAGGCTTACAAAATAATCTTTCGACTAAACTACATTCAGATGGAAAATTACACCCAAAAAGTACACACGGCAAACAAAAGGCTCCATCGAATATTTTCGAATATGTGAGCCATGGAAATTTTTCTATCCACATAAATTGAAAACTTCGCCCATTTTTAGGAAAAGAAAATGTTTTACAAGGTACAAAAACATCTTTAACTAAATGTTGAAGTTCATAATTACTCAAGGCTTTTGCAATACTTGAATAACTAGTATAGTTAGAAACCAAATAACCAATATCATAATTATTGGAAGGTAAAGAAAATGATTCGCAACATGTAATTTTACTAAAATTTGATAATGATAATGGGGGTTGACTAGAGACTTCCATTGGTTTACTTTTTAAATTGTCTAACGAATAGTTATTATCTTGATGTTTGGTCTCAAAATAAAATTTTATTTTAGTCTGCGACATTTTGCAGCTTTTGTTTAAATTTTTTCGTTTTAAGTTTTCTTTTATTATCACAGGGGTATAATGGTTGTGTTGAAAAGGAGCGGAAAAATCATTTAATACACCTTCATAACAAAAAAGGAGATGTAAAGACTCAATAGTGTTTAAGGAAGTTATACGAGGTAAAATAGTTGAGCTGAATAAAATTTTATACTTCTGTAGACCAAAATCTGGATACAAACATTCTATTTTCTTGTTGCAAACACTTGATAATGCAAGAATACAAAGAAAAGAAGACCAGTTTTCATTGTTACAATTGTTAATAGCTTCTTCTTGAACTAAATCTTTACTTTTTTTTCCAGAATCCAAAGAATTTAGTGATACTGATAAAGGAAGAATGTTATCATAGCAAAGAAAAGAGCTAGTATTGTTAATAAAAGCATAATGAAAAGTTGGATGGTTAGAATAAAACTCGGCATTTAAGAATAGCTCAATTGAGGTCTGTAATCTTAAATCGTTAACTATACAGTTATTTCCAGTAAGACGTAAGGAGATAGAACTGTACAGACAGTTTCCAATTGATTGAGACCTGAGATATACATAAAATATAATAATTTATGAACTTATATAAAAAATTTATAAGTATTTTTAACTAGCTTACAGTCAATATAACATTACAACTAACCAAAAAGTTATTAAAAAAATCATGGAATTTGAATAAATACCTTTACCTTAAAACAACATAACTGCCATTATGTTTTTCTTTAAAACTCTTTGGCAGATAGATTTCAAAATTTTTAAGAGTTTTTTCTTCTTCGTAAGAGTCGACAAGAATCGTATTATTACAACAACTAATATTTTTTTGTAATATATCTTTCAAAGCGATCAATTTTGTTTCATCATTTTGTAGCATAATGTTTTTAACTTCTTGATTGAGTGACATTTTAAATTAATACTCGAACACACTAATAAATGCTTGAATTTTTAACATTAAACAACATTTTAAATATTAGGAATAAGGCATGTATTTCAGGGTGTATTAACTAAAGGACGTCCGGCAGTGTTTTTTTATAAAAGAAATCGAGTATTTAGAAATTAAATATTGAAAACTAAATTAAATATAAAGATAAATAATAAAATAAAATAATATTGGGGACGTCTATTGGTGTATCTTATTATTTATAGGATATTATCATTAGTTTTACCTCCTGATCGTCACAAAACAAAAGATTTTGACAATATTTTAATAAGGGTGTACCAATTCGGGGACGTCCAAAAATAATTATCAGTAAAGATATTATTTATTTATTGTTTTAACAAACCAAATACAAACTTAAAATAATTTTTTATTTTATAATAAAATAAAATTGGGGACGTCCATTCGTTTATTTAATTAAATGTTATTTATCAAGAATTGCTTAAACCTCCGGCAAAGACAGATACCTTTTTAACAAGAACTTTAAACAAGAACCGTTCGTATTTCTTGTTTTACAAGTGCCTATAAAATTAAATCTTATTTGAGCTGACAGTTAACCAAAAAAGTTATTTTTATAATTGAAACGTAAATTAATTTTTTTTTTTATTATTTAATTTTTTTTTGGGTACATCTTAAGACGTACTAGACGTACCCTAGATCCGCCCCTGTATATATATATATATATATATATATATATATATATATATATATATATATATATATATATATATATATATATAATCGATATATCGATTATTATTATTATTCTTTTTATTATTATTTATTTATTTTGCCGTTGATATATATAACAAAAAAGAAATTACAATAAAAGAAAATCCTGGCCGGAGCAAGAAAAAGACAGGTTGTCTTATCACCGAGCCCCGTCACACAAAAATTTACATGCACAATAAATGATAAAAGACAAAAAGACAGTATAAATACAAAAACAAAAAAACTTCAGCAATAAAATAATTTGTTGCTAACAATCTTCCAGCAGAACAATTTTAAAAATAGAAAAGTAAAAACGACAGAAAATCATGAAAGTTATAAAAACACAAAAAAAATGCGTTGTTTAATTAAAAAAAAAAAAGCAATAGATGTGAAAATAAGTATTTGGGCTGATTATTTAATATTATCAAAAATATGAACGAAAAAGACAATTTTATTTTCGTTATCTTTTATACTAATGGTTTGACACCATTTTAATAAAAGCAAAAGAAAGTGTTAAAGATTTAATTTATTTTTAAGTGATTTAGTTTTTTTAAATTGTTTTCAAAAAAGGTATTTGAAATCTGATATATCGAATTCCATGTTTGGTAAATGCCGTATTAAATCATCCTCAAAACTTTGCAAAGTGCAGTTTAAAACGAAGTTTTGTTTTTTATTATAGATTGAAAGAAATTTTTTCCAAACTAAGGGACCTCGATATTGAATTCGGTACGAACTTAATTTAAGGTTTATGGGAACCACAAAGTTATTCACTGAAAATTTGGTTGGATATTTATGGGAGATTTCATTAAAGTAGGATTGAAATATTACTGGAAAAAATCCAAGTTTTGCTTTAAACATAAATAACATTACTTGATGAATATTAAGCTTATAAATATTATATATATATGAATATATATATATATATATATATATATATATATATATATATATATATATATATATATATATATATATATATATATATATATATATATATATGTATATAAAATAAATATATCACAAACAATTCATGCCTAAGGACGCAATTTTCTAATACCATTTTTGCGTTCTTATTATAAAGACCCTCTGTCGGTGTAACAGCATTCCTACCGGCAGCAGGTTATTAGATTGGGTAGGCTCTCTTATCTAACCTCTATTCCGACAGTCTTCTTTAAGTCCGCAAACATGAAAAAGCTGATTCATTAAGTTCAAGACAAACCCAAACCCTCAGTCGATGTATGCACACTCACTGTGCCTATAGCTAAATAATTCAGTCGATGTATGTACACTGTGAAGCGCCTATCCCTATATATCCCAATTTACCAATCCCCTAAAATCCCGGTTTTCGGACGTTAAGGATGCTCAACGTCGGAATAGAGGACGCTCAACGTTGGAATAGCTTGAATAGAGAGACTACCATTTGATTGTCGACGTATGTATTGAAGCCCCTGCAGCTATCTCTAGTATTATGACGTCATAAATGCGCAAATATTTATAACCGCGCAGTATAGTGAGTAAGCGCGTATGTATATGCATTTAAAAATAAGAAAATTAAAACAATTTTAAGGCAAGTGATATCTATTAATTTAGTATCTTTAATTCATCTATTTGTTCAAAAATTTATACTTTCCTGAATTTCAAAAACTGTTAACTGCCCTACGGGCATTTATTTTTCAAAGTTACGTTCTAAATGTCTTTTAAACGTTCTTAACTTAAGAATGTTTAAAAGACGTTTAAAAGACATTTAAAACGTAACTTTTGAAAACCATGCTCATTGAATGAAGTTTAAAAATTGCCCAATGGATTAAGTCGCCCATTTGATAAAGTTTAAAATTTAAGAGACTGAGTAGACTCTTTGAGCTTGCAACAGTTTCGGGTCAAACATCGGATTTAAAATCATTCGCAAAACTGTTAAAGCAACACTTCACCTTTCATGTTGCGTAAGTCACAAACCCACCTGAAAAACTCTCAAGTGATGAGAAAAAAATTATAAAATTGCGGTCCTATATTATTCTCAAATACAATCAGATGTTGTAATTAATCAGTTGTATAATTAGTCATTGAACAATAACTATTACAACTCCCAAGCAAGTATTAAAGCATTTTTAGTTTAATTTTAAAATTGTAGTAAACAGTAAGATTCAGAAAAATTCGTTTATGTTGAAATAAATTGTTTAAAGAGAATTATTATTCGAAGTTTTAAATTAAATTTACTGAGTAAGCAAAAAAAAAAAAAAAAAAAAAAAAAAAAAAATCGAATATATAGAAAAAAAGAACGTTATTTCTTTCAACAAACAAAAAGAACGCTCAAATTTCGATTATTGCGAAATACACTAACAGATCAAAAATATGTTAATAAACTGGAACACAGCATTCTTTTTAAATTAACAAACATAATGAAAAACCAGGGGGTAAGTTGAGCCACGAGCAAACTTTTTCCCACTTCTCTACTAAATTACCTTTTATCCCATTAATTTACTAAATTCCAATATTAAATACAACATTTTTTAAAAAAAACTGGCACTTCATATAAATATTTTGAAAAATTTAACTAGGAAAACTTAAAGATAGAACAAATTCAATAAAAAATCAATGATTAAACTCTGAACGTACATCCTTAAAGTCGATTTCGTAAACAAAAAAAAAACTTCAAACGTAAAATCTGCATTCGTTATATTCGAATAAAAACTAAATACAATATGGCGTAAAATCTAATACAGAATCTTTGACACGCTATTTACAGCGTTTAAATATATAAACACAAATATGAAGGTTTTCTTAACACCACAAAATTCTTGCATGTACAAATCATAAAATGATAATCGCGATTAAATTTTATCTAAAATTAGGACTAAAATTGAAAAGAAAAAAATAAGAAAGTTTTAGTCCTACTTGATTACATTGTTAAAAATATTAAAACATAAAGGAACATTCACATAGATTAAATATTACTTAGTAAACAGATTTAATGTAACACCTGTAGTTTTTTTTTTTTTACAGATACCAGTAATTGGCGGTTTTTAAATTTAAAAAAGCCTACGACGAAAAGCTTATATGATGAAGGTTGTTCAAATAAAGAAAAATATTATCATACTGTAAGATGAGACAAAGAATTTTAAATAAACTATGGAACGCTAAGCATTTTCTGCGGTCGTTATATACAAACATTAAATAAGACGAATAAACAAAATAAGATAAAATCAAGAGACTGTATAATTTAAAAAACTGCCTTTAAAATTTAACTAGGATAATAATGAAAATATTTTGAAGGATTAATTTAAAACTATCAATGAAAAAATGAACGTAAAAATTTAAAAGCTCACCTAAAAAAATAGAGCATGCAAAACAAAACAATCTTGCGCAGCAAGAATGCGCGCAAGAGAACTTAGATATGTACATAAAAAATAGTTATACCTCACTAAACAAAATTAAATTTCTTTCATTTTTAAATATCAAATAAAAATTCATCGTAAGCTAAAGTAAAGGCATGCTGATATCTAATAATTTATCTGTTTTCGGTTTTGGAGTATATTTAGGACAATATTTAATTGTATGTGATTGGTTACCATGTGACTTGCAGAGTGGGCATGTGTAGGCTCTAAGTATTGGGCACATAGTATTTCCTTCGTTATCTTTTAAAGTGTGCGAGCTGTAAAATTCTCTGGACTCACCATTATTTCGACAAAAAACACAAACCGATGTCTTGCTAAGATTTTTCAAAGCTTTGCTTTGAATTTGTTGTTGAACATGATTATGTATTTGTTGACTAACTACACTTTGGTTAGCAATAAGAGACTCTAATGTTTGTGCGTATGTTTGTGCCAAAACATTACTATGAATTGAATTGACTTTACTTTGCCGGTAGGGAGAGTACTCTTCAGAAGAGCTTAGGTTTTCATATATTACTTCATTATCACCTCGACCTTCGCTAGAAGAACTCTCACTCGTCTCATCTGAATCTAAACTATCAATTCGATGCCTGTTTGAGGATATAATATTTGGATAATTAAAAAAAAAATCAACATTATCCACAGATTCTGTAGGCGAATGCAATTTAGACATTTCTATGCGATTTTCAGGTAGTATCAGTCTTATAAGTCCAAGATAATCACGAAATACGGAAAATTGACTGTCTTGTTTATAATTAAATGAAAATTTATCGAGATTTAAGCCTTCGCGACTTGAAAACAAGTCTTTGGTTTTACATAAAGATAACGCCATTTATACAGTAATATTTAATCGATGATTATGCAAAAAAGATAACTTTTAGAAATAAACTTTTACTAATGCTAATCGTTGCAATGTTAGTAATTGATCACTCTTCTCAAGCCTGCAAGATAGTTAATGATAAATTACACATTTTGCATGATAAACTTTTTGAGGCCATGTGCGTCTTTTGTTAAGAAAGTTATCTATTGTTTATAAATACCCAATCAAAATACGTATTTTTTTGTCGTCACATTTAACCTTGAGCTTAAGTTCGGCATTTTTTTTTTTTTACCTTTTTTAAATAATTTACAAAAAAAAAAAAAAAAAAAAAAATACGCGTGATATTTTATGATTTATGCTAATATCTTAGTCTGTGTAGCTTTGAAATTAGTTTTTATTATTTATATTTTTACATAAATAAACAGACCATTTAAAAAAAAATGTTTATTTATTTAATGCCGCAGAAGTTGCGAAATTATTTAAAACTTTAATCTTTTTGTTTAAAAAATTATTTTAAAATATTTATACACATAATTCTTATATTTCAAAAGTTAGGAAATCTATTTATATTAAGTTATATAATTTTGTATTGATTGTTTTATAATTAAATGTTTGATGACGTCACTATTTCTTCAAAAACGTTTTTCCTAAAAAAATTCAGAGTTCTACCATGTATTGGCAGATTTTATTTTTAAATTTTATTACAGGTTACCGCATTTATAAACTAACTTTATTCAAATATAATATTTATGCTAAATATAAGATATTTAGCTAACGTACATTGTAAACAACAATTTATTTTTAACTACTTTTTTTTAACGTAAGTCGTTTTGCCAATTCACCGCAGAATTAAAATGATTAAAAGTAAAAAAATTTTTCGAAAACAAATCTCTAGAGACGCAAAAATAAAAACTGTTGCTCAATATTGTTGCCAAAAGATAATTAAGGTTATATTCTAACTGTTGAAAAATTTTTAATTAGATGCTTTTTGTTTTACATTTTTAAGCCTCAAAGCAAATGAATTCTCAGGTGGTTTCAAAAAAAATAAATTTCTTAATGATCTTTTCATCCTTGTTGTCAGCGGTGTTCGACAATAATGCAATAAGAACAGCGGTCTCATTAATTATTTGGTGTTACAGGTGTCTGTAATTTAAAAACTTGAAATGCTTTTTTTTTGCTTTCCTATGCTTAATTAACACTTTTTAATGTTTTTATCATGATAATAGCACTATTAAATTTTTTTTTCTTTGATGAATTTATATTTATAAATAAATTTTTAAGCGGAATGTGGGACAGAATATTCTAAAAATATCCTAAAATTCTTTCATTCAAGACCAATATTGCGTCATCGTTAAAAGATGTATTTGATTTTAATTCTTTGCACTACTTTGCCAAACATTTGTTTAAACCTTCGTCAGACGTCGCAAAAATATTATTTCCGTTTACAAGCTGTTAAAAGCCATTTTTTTACAATAAAAGTTTTAACTCGAGCGTTATATTGTTTATGTTGCATATTAGTAACGATTGAACTCTTTTAGGGAATTCAAGCTCGCTCAGTGTACAAAAAATTTCAAGAAGTTTAATTACACCAATCCATGAGGGAATTTTTAATTCGCAAATGACTTATTACTTTTAAATTAGATTATTTGTATTTCTAATTAAGATTTAATCCTTTAAATTATTGCAAGTTACGGGACGAAATAACTTAACGTGTTATATAATAATAAACGTTTTTCAAGACTGCGTGAATTTAGCTTACCACAGAAATGGTCATTCAACATTTGTTTTGTGGTAATTTTAAAAATATACATTTGTATGATATGGTTTTAGACATTAAACAATATATATTTAAATATTTTTTTTAATAAAAGAAAGACATTAAGCCTAAAAAAAACAATATATATTCTGCACATTAGTCAAAGTATATTCTGCACATTAGTCATTAGTCTGAAATTTTAGTTGACTTTAAAAGCTAAAATTAAAAAAAGTTTTAAAATAAAACTCCCGAGTCGCAATTCGGTCTACAAAACGTTATCGGCCTTTTAAAAATTAAAATGAGGCTTTTTTAGAAACACACATTTTCGACGTTTATTAACATACATGAGTTTTTTTATTCATAAAAGTATCAAATATTTAGTGATTTTATTGGTTATAAAAAAGATTATCATATTGAATTAAAAAACTTTTTCATATTGAGTATATATAAGTTTGTTCATATAATATTAGGTATATCGGAATATACTAAAAATCCGCATTCATTTCGCGATACTCCAGATAGCGTAGTTCGTGAAATTTTTTGTTGGAGTTGTATAGTTATAAAGTTGCAGACATAAATGCATAGTGGCATAATAACGCATCTTGGTCCGAGATCACATGAAAAGACAAATGAATGACACGTGAACAGACAAATGAATCATTATGATAAAAAAAAACGTACTTACAAAATAGTATTGGTTCGTAAAAGACAGTTTTGCAAAACGTCAGGATTTTCGAAACATTTCCCATCTTTTTTATTTATACTCCCTCTACTTATATCTGTTATATATACAAGGCCGGCGCAATGGAAGGGGGTGTAGGGGTGTGATGATTGGAGGCTGGGTTTTTGTAACCCTTCAAATTAAGGGGAAGGGGAGTAACAAGTTTTATATGGTAATATGTAATAATATTATAAAAAAGTCTTATTATAAAAATAGTTACAATTCTCATATGGTCATAATTTTTGAACTATTAAACTTAAACTTTATCGATGAATATAAGTCTAGTTGACAATAGTTCAAAAAATATTTTATCAACTTGTTGCACCTCATGTTTGTTCCCAGCCTCCAATCGTCGCAATTTTTTGCAAAGCCTCATTATTTGACATAAGCATAAACATACAAATGTTTTGTGTTTGCTCCATGTCTGGAAGTTCTCAAACACTGCATCAGAACCTGTGGATAATGTTGATTTTTTTTTTTTTAATTATCCAAATATTATATCCTCAAACACTGATCCATCACTGCATAAAGGGTTCATAAATATTGGCAGATTCATTTAAGTTTTCAATTAATTAGTTAGTTAAATTACACGCAACGGGCGTGTTTCGTCAACCCATCAACAGCTAGCCTTGCTAGCTCGTGCAAAATTGCACGGAAGATGATGCGCTGCAGTAAATATGGTAGCTGATCGAGTTTTGCTTTGAAGCGGTCAACACTGATAGCACTGACAACTTCGTTTGGCAGTACATTCCATGGGGGAGAAACGCGGTTATTGAAGAATTATAGCGAACGAGGTAGTTGTTGTCCATTTCTCGATAAAAGCGCTTGCAATGAACGTAGCTTGGTGGGATGTTTGTTGAATCAATATGCCAGCTAACTGAGTCAATATTGTTTTCGATTTTGTATTTTTGTTTGAGGTCGCCGCTTAAACGTCTATTTAGTAGAGAGCTGAGGCTGAGTTTGATGTATCTTTTCTTGTAATCGAAGCGCTTTATTTCGTGCGGTACTTTTTATTCGATGTTGGATGCGTTCTTTGACATTTATATCTTTTTCAAGATGCGGGCACCAGGCAGCGACTGCAAACTCAAGATGTGAGCGTATTGAGGTAATGTAAAGTTTTTCCCATTTAAATCCTAATTAAAAAAAAATATTTTAACAATTGAGAAATATTTGTGTTTAAGTAACTACACTAATGTCATTTTTTATCATTTTTCAGTTTTTTTCTTTTTCTTTTTTTTGTTTTTTGTTCTTATTGTCTTATTTTTTGTTTTTGGTTATCCAATTGATTTCAATGACCATCGAGTGCCAACTGGAGTTTGTGAGAAGAGATACATAGCTCTTCGAAGAAGAGATTCAGTTGAAGATACTTCTCTACGCCTCATGAATGACTGTTAAGCAATGAAGATTCGTCCTCGTAGTTTTACTAAACCAACACTTAGACAAAATTTGTTGAATATTGACACAAAAGATGATGTTACTGCTGAAAGAGTAGTTGCTTCAATAAGATTCCATCACCTCACGTGATGGTAAGACTGAATAAAGGAAAAATAGCTTCCTATGGTTTTTTATTTGAGTTCATCAATTTTTGAATTTAAAAATTTAAGAATATTTAAACAAAGTTAAATAAAGTTATGAAAGAAATTTAAGATTAAGGAAAGTAAAAAAAAAATTTTTTCAATTTTTTTTTATAGGACGTTTCAAACACAAGACTATTTTCATAAAATTAAAATGGATGGAGGTGGTGATTTCTTAAAATTAAAATGGATGAAGATGGTGATGTCTTAAAACTGAGATGGATGGAGGTGGTTATTTCTTAAATGCCTCTTTTAGAATTCTTAGCTTAAAGGCAAAAAATGACTCTCCTCCACCTAAAATATTTTTTCTCCATCTTCTGCAAAAGACTCTGAAGTTAAGAGATAAATGATGATTATAATCTTCTAAAAAATCTTTCTAAAAACTATGACAATAAATGTAATGGAAAAGTTGAGTCTTGAAAGAATGACTTTTATTTTATCATGTGATATAAAACTTGTCAACATTGTGTGTGGTGGCAATCACTTTCATCTACTTACTTGCTACCTTGCACTTGGTTAAATGTGGAGTCCGAAAATTGTTACCAGAGTGGCAAACTCACAACCATACAGATTCTATTCTACCCATGGAGTTTCACTTGGTAATGGTAATATAGGTACGTGAGTATCTAATGAGTTACGGCACCGATTATGTAATCAAAATCGTCGACCATTTTATCGTAGCGTGCTTAGCGTTTGAGTTGTGTTGAAAACATTTTTGAACCTATTGAGAAAAGTTTGAAAACTTATTTCCTATGTGCATGCCAAATTTTATTGAAAAAGATTATGTAGCAGACACCTAATTTTTTTGTAGCAGAATATGTACTTAAGTTAAAATATTGTAAATAAAGCAAAATATTGCGCATATAACAAAAACTACCGTTAGCCGAATCTGACGTTTTAAAATTGGTCGCAGTTTTATTAAGCGATCTTGTAAACAATTTTGTTACTTAAATGAGCATAAGTTTTTGTAATATTGTTATTTTGTTATGAATTTTTCACTATTATAATGCTAATTTTAGCCTCTTTCCAATGATATATGATAATTAATAATAAAAATAACTTGCAATTTTTACCCACGTACCTAGAAAATATCT